ACCATACTCTCTTGGTTCTCTTTCTCCTCCACTATCTACACTTTCTCAGTCTATTTATTCTCTCTCTCTAAGATCTACACTTACAGTGTTGTGGGGTGCTCAGTCCTCTTCTTTAGCAATTTATAATTACTTTGAACTTTGGCTACTTCCATTCCTGGGAATGACAGACCAAGGTACTAGCAGATAACATGATTAATCCTTCCTTCAAAAAACAAAATAAAGCAAAAATGAAAACTGGGCACACTACAAAAAACCCTCTCTGAAGGTAAAGTAGAGTAAATGAAAGAAGGCAGGATCTGATGCAATGTCAAAGCGCACTAGGAATAAAGATGGAAAGCTGTACAAATAAGATACCATCTCTTCAGAACGTAACCTAAAACTAACTGCAGTCTTCATGGTTTAGGAGCAGTGGCCAAGGAATACATGGAACAGTGAAGCCTGGGTGCATTACCCGCTGAGAAAGTAGGGGAAACCCAGAAGAGATGGAACCATACAAGGGGTTCTGAAACTTGAACAACTCATCAAAGAAACAGATTCAGTTAATCTCACCAAAAGGCAAAAGATCTGAACTGAAGCTAGAGGTGCTATTCAAGAAACTGTTTGAAATTCAAGTGAAAGTGAAAGTCGCTTGGTCCTGTCCGACTCTGCGAACCCATGGATTATACAGTCCATGGAATTCTCCAGGCCAGAACACTGGAGTGGGTAGCCTTTCCCTTCTCCAGGGGATCTTTGCAACCCAGGGATCGAACCCAGGTCTCCCACATTGCAGGCAGAATCTTTACCAGCTGAGCCACAGTTTGAAATTAAAGCCTACTCCAAAAGTTAACTGAAAAAGCCACCATTCACTGGAGAAGAATAACCAAACCCTGAATCTCTACTGTTTAATGTTTATAATGTTTAGAGTACAATTCAAAATTACCCAGCATATGGTACTTCCCTAGCAGTCCGGTGGTTAGGACTCCATGCTTCCACTGCAGGGGGCATGGGTTCGATCCCTGATAAGGAAATCGAGATACTGCAGCATGTTGCACAGCAAAGGCAAAAACAAAACAAGCAAAAAAAAATCCTCAATTACTCAGCAGATGCAGAACCAAGAAAAACAACCATCTTTTCCTCTCCACAAACAAAAATGGCTATTATCCCTATCCTATGATGCTAAAAAAATAAAAAAATCCTTTCAATGGATTAAAATCTTATGAGAGAAATTAAAAAAAAAAAAATCCCAGCACAGAAACAGAAACAATACAAACTGTTAACTGATTCAGTCACAGAACATCAGTCACTGGGTGAAAAAGACCACAGGATATTCACATAGTCTCAAAGTTACCATCTTACAGATGAGTTTACAAATGCTGAAAGTGACAAACGAGCCTTGGGGAGGAATCTGTCAGACAACATCTAAACCAAGTGTTTGGAACTCACCATTGCCAGTAAGGGATAAAATGTATGTGAAACAACGTATTATTATTATTACACCGTAACATTACAAATTTCCTTTAGTTTTGAAATATTTTCCAAAAAGTTAGAGGGAAATACAAAAAGAAAAAAATTGCAAAAAGGCGTATTTTTACAAATAAGAGAGGGAAGAATTAAAACAGCTGCCTTGCCATCTGTTCACTTTTCTTACCAGGAAGAAACTCAGGGAAAAGTAGATGATGGAGTTTAATGTGTAGCTGAAAATCTGGGTATAAGTTGTATATAACTTAGAAACAGGCCATGATGGAGCACAAGACAAACCAATTCTAACAGCTGATAAAGTACAAAAGATGCTTTTAATAAGAGATTGAAACATGCAAAAATAGAAAAAGAATGGAACAAAAGGGGAAAGAGTTTTAACACAGAGAAGAGTAGCAAACAGAGCAAGAGCTCACATATAAATCATCATTGTATATGAATACTTAGCACAAGGAAAATTAACGGCCTCAGAGAAGTGAAAAAGAAAAGTTGACTGGCTATACTGAGCTGTGAGGAAATAAAGAATCTGAAAACTTATCACACATTTTGGACCTTTTTCCCTTAGAGAGCAAGCTTCATGTTTATTACATTACCTCTTTCCTGGTGGCTCAGATGGTGCGGTGAAGACTCTGCCTACCAATGCAGGAGACTCAGGTTCGATTCCTGGGTCAGGAAGATCCCCTAGAGGAGGGAATGGCAACTCACTCCAGTATTCTCCCCTGGGAAATCCCACGACACAGAGCCTGGTGGGCTATAGTTTATGGGGTTGCAAAGAGTTGGACATGACTGAGCGACTAACACTAACGCATCCAATCTTTAGGAGACAGAGTCTACATATATTTCAGAAGTTCTCATTTTAATGAAGGAGTATAGTGAAATGGCTAACACTATCAACTTTATAGTTAGTTACAACCAGATCAACACCTAACGACTATTTGACTGAGAACAAGCTGCTGAACTTCTCCAAGCCTGTTTCCTACTCTGTAAGATGGAGATAGTATCTACCTCATGAGACAGTGCCCGGCACATAGTGAATAATAGAAGCTAGTTATCTAACTCTTATTATTGAGAAAAAAGACTTCTTGTACATTTTCATTAATTTCATTCTGTGCTCTAATTTCACCATCTCCTTCTCTAGCTAAATAACCTGGAGATCTGTCAAAGTCAAAAAGCTACCTTAATATCCAAAGAGAAAGGAACTGTTTCAGAAGCCAGTGTATATATACCAGAATCAAAGCTAAAAGTGTTAATACCATTAGAGAAGGCAGCAAGATTTCTTTCACATTCATACATTACAGGCTATAAAACTGGAATCTATCATTTTATAGTATCATAAAGACCAGGCAACTTTTTTCCTTGACCAGAAAAAACAAACTCCTATTTCTAAAAATATCTCAGGTTTTCTTCTTAAGGAAGTCCTCTTGCAACAAAATACCCTATTATCATAGAAAGCAAGTATAGGACAAGACCATAAAAATGTAGTGGTATATGAGCTGAGGAAAAAATTCATCTGGAAAAATGAGTAAGAAAAGGTTTTTCTTCAAATTTAATTGAGACTGTGAGCTTTCTGTTTTGTGACTATTTCTTTGATACTCCTGTGTACATGATAAAACATTCCCTTAAGAAATTACAAATGATCTTTCAATTTAAAAATGTTTTATGTATTTGCTTCTTTTAGAAAGTAGACCAACTTGGTAAAAGAACCATAACTGAAGAATGAAATTTGACATGTAAGGAAAGCAAACATATAGACTTACTCTTTTTCTGGTTTTTATATTTAGATTTAATTCAGTTTTTAAACAGCACAGTGAAAGTTGAAGGTAGAGTATCCAAATTAAACCATCCTAACCACTGACATTGACTCAAGAAATATATGTACTGTTAATTTTATGAATTTAAGGACTATATCAGGCAAGGAATTTTAGCTTTCTATGAGGCAACAATTCCATAGTGGTCTTTTATAAACACAAGGAAGAACAGAAACAAGCAAAAACTATAATCATGACAGTAATCTTGTAAACCTATGAACTTTATCAGTGAGTCTGATTTTCTACTGCTGATGAGATTTAAGAATTACAGAAAACAAGTTTCACATATAGATCAAATAGGACAACTTTGTTTCTAATTAACTAAATTAAATTCATTATTGAGTTATGGAAGGGATGTATTTTAAAGATTAATGAATATCTTTTGTTTCTAAACTCCTGATACAATGCACAGAGGCTTACTGTATATAATCCATCCTTTCCACAGTAAAATAAAATCAGCAATTATATAGTAGCTCAAAGCCTCTGAATAATTTAGGACTACAAAAATGACTATTCAGAAGAAATTACAGGGAAAAATTTAGGTAAGGAATGTAATTTAGTAAGGAGCCTGGTTAAAAGAAAGTGAAAGACAACAGCACAAATCATAACTTCTTACCTTAGTGTTATCCTCAAAAATCTCTAAAGATTTTATTTCTCATAGGAATTTCATGGAAAAAAAAAGTCTCAATGATACATAAAACAAAGCAATACAAATAATAATTAAGAGTCAAACATAGAGTATTTTGAATGAATGGCTGGACAGTAAGAGTATTAAAACTTATGACATATCAAATGGATTCCATGAATTTTATGGTCCTATGAAAAACAATACAAATTAAGGGAAAAAAGCCACAAAAATCATAACTCACACCAAAGAATCATGTCCTACATCTGTTTCTATTCAGATTAACTATGGTAACTTTGTCTTATAGGACACTTTTCATCCTTTCAAAAGGAAAAAACAGTGAGAAGTTTTGATAAAATAACTCAATTAAAATATTGTTAGAGATTTCTCTTGCTCTTTTATCTATCTCAAAACTTAGAAGTTCTACCAAAATGTAATAGTCAAACATACATGCAAAATGACCCTGTAATTAAGGTAATTGCTGGTACCAAATGTTGTTTTTAAGTTCTTCAATAAAACAGTCTTCCAGACATTTAATAGTATGTCATTTGGTAAATGAAAGTTTCCACAAAGAACATCGAGAAGACCTAAAAATTATGCTAGCAAAGAGTCTGGCTGAAAGAAACGAAAATACGGATCATTTTGGTCCAATACTAATTTTATTTCAAGTTACTACAGAGCTGAATAAAATGGTGACGCCACCACACAAAAATTTATTGAGCTGGCAATAGGCAAAGCATGATGTCAGCCACCAATATCACCATCCACATTACCAAACAACAGGAACTTAACTGAGACCTCATGCCTAAACTTTTAGTAAAAATAAAAACCTTAGGCATGAAGCATTATTAAATATAGATGAGTTTAATCTGGCAGTTTTGACTCAAGTTAATCTAATTGTACTTTAACAACTTCAGTAAAAAACATAAAATAATGCAAACAAATCCAATTTTCTAAATGTAGTGCTACATTCTTCACCAAACATATCCACACAAACAAGCCTTAGCCGACTCACATTATAGTCCATAAATAACACTGAACACACATGAACAAAATGCAGCTGACAGGAGACATGGAAACACACATGCACACAGCTCCACACAAGTTCTCACCTTCATGGCATGAATTTCCTCGAGCAGTCGTTGTGCTCGTCTTTGGTTTTTCAACAGTGCATCTTCGGTACCCCTGCAAAAGACACATTATAATATGTAGCCAGAAAAAGGATTTATTTGAGACTAGTATCATAATAAAAAGTCTTTCCATTTATTTTGGAAAAGCTTAATAATTTCTAAATAACACGCATTCTGTCATCCTGCATTGCCCTTTCCCCCATCCAACACACACCCCAACTCCATCAACAAACCCAAGATTTTGGCATTATATCAATGACATTATCACTGATAGCTTTTCTTCTAATTCCTTAATAGGAAAGCCAAATAATACTTTCCAATTAACAGCACATTGCATTTCATGTAAGCAATAAGCTTGGATATAATTAAATGAAAATTTGTTTTCCGGAATTAAATAAATATCTAAAGAAATTAAATATATAATTGTATCAGAGGAGAGCTACCTTATGAAACACACACACAAAAACAAGAAATTAACCAGAAACAAAACACGTTTGAAGACTTTGTTAGTATTCATGCTTAAAACATAAGAAGTATAAATAACATACTTATATTCTCATACTAGTGATACCAAAAATATAGAACATTATTTTGTTCAAAAAAATTAAATGGAACACAGTGTTTTGACAAATACTTCGAAAATGTAGTAAAGATTTCAAATTAATCAGCAATTCAAGGAATATGGTGATATAAAATCTTCATAATTGATTCAGACTATCACTTGCTTTGCTAACCTATATGAAAAACATCTTAAAATAATAACTTCTAATAACATAAAATATATAAATAACTTCAAAGACTTTTCAGTTTGACAAATCCAAAAGAAGAGGTTTGAAAACAGAATTTATCATACATCTTAAGTGAATATGGTCCGAACTATGTAAGCACATGCTGACACAGCACATTTTATTTCACTCAGGATCTATCTACAGATAAAACAAAGTGCTGTAGGAGTAAGATATTTAATTACTCCTCTAAGTCCCACCCTCAACTTTTGTAAATACTGAACAAAAACAACTTTTGACATTTTATTAGTCACAGGACCATAATGTTAAATGACTAACTTTTTTGACTTCAGTCTGCCAACACTCCTGACAAGTTTTCGGATAACCAAAACTCGGATTCTCTTCACTTCTTTTCTCATCTTCACAACCTTCAAGGAATAAAGCCAAAATTAGAGAGTCTTAATTCAAGAGGGAATATACCTTATAGTGAATACTAATAATACAGAATATGCCTGCCACCTTGGCCAAGTTTCGTTTAACTGTATTTATAGCTTGATGAAATCTAACTTCTTCCAAAACAGAGAAGGAATAAGAAGTAAATCAACATTCTAAACAAGTGTATGAGGACTTACAAGAAACATCTCATGATTTAAAACACAAAACAAAACACAGCATTCCCAGTGGCTAGTGTTTTAAATTACACTTTTATCTTGTTGGGTTTGGCACATAATAAACTGTGAACTCGCTGAGATCAGAAACCACCATATTTATCTCTAAATACTTGTGGTTTAAAACAAAGCTTCACCTATAAACTGTAGGAATTTAATGTACTGAAAACATTTGTATTAACAAAAGCAAATGCATGAAAGTGATTTTATTTTACTTATTTTTAGCACATCCCTTTCATTTATATTTAACAAATCATTTTAAGCATAACTTGAAAAACAGAAGGGCAGGCACCATGCAGGGACACACACACACTTTAAATTACCCCATTAGAGAACAATGTTGTGCTCTAACAATCAAAAAAACCAAAAAAAAAACAAAAAACAAAAACCTTTGGCCAAGAGAGAGAAATATTCTAATGATAAACAACTACATGTTACAACAGTACTTACTGCAATGGGATGCTACCATTTTGAGTTCATGTTTTCTCTGTTACTGTTAAGAGGCATACATATATAATTCATCCTGTAATGTCCTTCACCCTATTCTCCACTTTAAGAACTACATGAAATTCAGTTTGGATATACTCATTGCTGTGAAATCTTCAATGACTTCTTCAGTAAGATAACCATTCTATCCCTGGAGTTCCCATTATACCTGTAGGCAGCACCTACCACTGTACTGTCACTAACTGCTCATAAAGTATTCTTTTTCTATAATCTCCTGAAGGGCGGGGCCCTTGCAATATTTACATAATGTTTTCTGTGCCTTGCAAGAGTGTCTGACATGTACAATTCTCAAATTCTTGTTGCCAAAATAACAGTAGCAACATCATTCTGTTTTTACAAGGCTCTTGTATTTAGCTGTTACTTTTTTGCCTTTCATTAACATCATTCATCCTCTTATTCATTGATAATATGGGCGACCAACCTACAATTTCTCTCCACCATAAGTTTTGCCATTATTCTGGGTGATGCAGATGTCCACTTGAATAATCCACCCAATATTATAGCCTCATTCCTTGACTTCCTCCTTTCTAATGGCTTAATCTATTCCATCACAGCCACCCACTTTCAGTCATACTATAGTCCCTGTCATTGTTCATGATTATTCCATTTCTAAAACCATCAATTCAGATTCTATACACTGAGATCAACTTCATGTTCAGCCCCAGCCACCACAAAGGTGTTCGATTTCACTGGAACCACCAGTTCACTGACTCCTATACTTTTCCTCAAGTGATTAGTCCTTTTCAATTTTCCTTCTCTTATCTAGTTTAGGTACATAACCAACACATGCCAATATATTATACTCATCCCTCTGGTTAGTGAATCCTGGATAAAAACAATATTCTGAGTTCTTTATCACAGTACCCCAAAAGCCAGGAAACATTTGAGATATTCTATCTACTAGATATCCATCTAGTAATGGATCTAGTAATCTCTAGTAGTAATCTCGAATGAGTTCTTACACTTCTTATTATACATAAATACATACTTTGGTCAATTCACTTTACAATCATTATTCTAAATCTGTACCTGCTTTCCTAAAACATCTAACCTTTCTCTTCCTCTCTTTCTCAATTTCATGAAGAAAATAAACATCAGATGGGAACCATCACCTTTCTACTATCATGAATGTAAATTTAATTGCATCACCCATCCCCCTCTATTAATAAAGTTATGTGCATGCTCAATCATATCCAACTCTTTGTGACCCAAAGGGCTAGAGCCCGCCAGGTTTCTCCATTCATGGGATTTTCCAGACAATAATATTGGAGTGGGTTGCCATTTCCTCCTCCAATTCCTGACCCAGGGATTAAGCCAGTGTCTCCTGTGGCTTATGCACTGGCAGGCAGATTCTTTACCACTGAGCCACCTGGGAACCACTTAAAGTTACAATATAAGAAATATTACTAAACTTTTCTGAGGTTAATCTTCTAACTATTTTGGATCCCATCCTTTTCTGCCTTCCTAGAATGCTCACTGCAAACTATGTATTTACTCTAGGACTGTCAATCTCTTAAATGTGTGTTTCTCACACATTTGTTTAAAACTGGGGTACAGTTGCTTTGCAATGCTGTGTCAGTTAGTGGTGTACAACAGAGTGAGGCAGTTACATGTGTGTATACACATTTCCCTTTCCTTCTGGAGCCCCCCTCATCCCACCATCCGGGTCATCACAGGGCACTGAGCTCAGCTCCCTGCTCTACACGACAGGTCTCCATGGGCTATTTATTTTACACATGGCAGTTTATCTATGTCAGTTCCAATTTTCCAATTCATCCCCCACACCCCTCCTCGCCCCTTGTCCACACTGATTTCTGATCATGCTTGAGTCATTTTCATCAAAAACAGAAACAAAACAACCTCACTACAAAGTTTACAGAAGCATCCTCTCTTCAACTGCCCCAGAGTCAGGTTTTCGAGAGATGTTCAAACAGATCACTCCATATATGCATGCCACATAATTCCAGTTTAATTTCCATTTCCACCAGTCGACTAAATGCTGTCACAAAGACACCAATGACTTCTAAAAGTCCCTGAAGTCAACAGGAATTTTTCAGACTTATTTTGCTTGGAATCTCAGCAGCATTTGATACTGATGAATACTCTCTCCTTCTTAAAATACTCCCCTTTGGCTTGTATACCAGAATACTTATTTTGGTTTTCCTTCTTCCTCTCTAGCTACCTTATCTTCGTCTTCTTTGAAGACACATCCATCTCTAATTAGTCTTGAACTGATTAGGCCAGCTCTTCCTTTCAAGATATATTTTTTAGCCCTAAGTGATCTTATGTGTATATACAATTTTAATTTGCCACCTAAGAAAGCTGACTCAAAAATTTCTACCATCAGCTTAGATCTCCACTTTAGCTCCAGACCTAAATATGTAACTGCCTACTTAACATTTCAAGTATGCTTAAAAACATCTCCAACTCACACGGAACCCATGCTATTCACTCTCAACTGGATCTCTTTTTTGGTCTTTCATACTTAAGGGACTAGAACAATCTTTTCAATTATAAACCTAACTTTCATTTCTAAATCCCTCACAATGAATCTATTACTAAGTCCTAATAATTTTATTTCCTAATTATCTCCCAAATTGTACCATTTTCCCTTCTATCCTGACTTGGCTCTCTCGGCTGAGTTACTGCCAACTAGTCTCTCAAAATCCATTCTTGTCCTTCTCCAGTCAGTTATCTACAACTCAATCAGAACACATTTTTTTAACACTTAGATCTGATGTAACACCTTGACTTAACTCTCTTCAGTGGTTTCAACTGCTCTTAGGATGGCCACAAATGCCATCTTTTAGTCCATTCTCACCATGCTTACAACTACTACCAATCTTTACATCTGCTGTCTTCTCTGTTAGGAATACTCTTTCTCCTCATGTTAGCTTGTTAACATCTTATCTGATTTGGCCTAATTGTCATTTCTCAGTAAAGTGTCTCCTGGCCTCCCTCAGAGGGTCAAAAAGTGCTTATAGAATTTTCATGACCTTTGTTTTAATATTTTACTTTTAATCTGATAATGCTTAATGTGTCTTTCTCACACTAGTCTATAAATTCCATGAAAGTATAATATCTGGTTTTATTCAACATTGTATCTTAACAGTCAGCATAGCAGATGACATACAATAGGTGGTCAATAAATATTTGTTAAGTAAATGAACAGAAAAGGAGCAATACTCCCATGATCATTCACTGTTTCTAAAGAATACTATTTTAACAGAACATAATCAGATTTCCACTATCTACATGAACCTCTTTAGAATCTGTTTCAAAATTAGATCTATTTAGGGAAAAAAAAAATCATACCTGCATAAACAAAAAGTCACTGAGATCAGGTTTAAGTGGAAAAATGGACTGTTACATTTCATAAGTGGCCAAATAGTGGACTATGATCCATTTCTGAAAGTCAAGTCATTCATAAAATGAATAGCAAGTGATAAATTATGCATTAAAATATATTAACAAATGTTTCCAATTGCTGTACCCTGCAGGTGCAGGAAAAGATTAACCATTTGCTAACTGCTGTTAACCAAACTTAACTAATAAACTGCAGGAAGCAGAACCGGTCCTCAGTTACATTCCAATCATGGGAAAGCTAGACTCCAATTTTAAAATTCCAATTTAAGAAGCACTATGTTTGTCATTACTGCATAAGGGAATTCTGAAAAGCAAAGGGAATGCTTCATGTGCTTAGTTTCATGCCGATGCCAAAAAATGCTTTTTTAGCTTATTAACTTTTTCAGTTATTTGGTAAGTATAGTATACTAAAAAATATATATATATTCACTTCATATAAAAATGTAATTATTACTTTTATTTCCTCACAGTTTGTCTCACTTGGCTTTCTAAAAGCATTTAAATTTATTTTTACACAACTGACAAACAGCTACCAGTAGCCCTTGACTTAGAATTTAAAAGGTTGCCAATTCACTTGTCAGCCAGGAATTATGAAGCTGGTTGACAGGTATCCCAGACATCAACAGATAGTCCTAAAACACTCAGCACTGTCAGAAGGCCAATGTACTGCTTTAGGGCAACATACTTTGGTGAATTCTTTAACCAAAAACAAACATAACTGTGATTGTTACAAATGTGAAAAGAGTATAATACTGTTCGGGAGGAAAAAAAGGAAAGAGAAATAAAGTGAGAAAGGACAAAACAGGAATAATAATGAAATGTGCTGACAGGAAAGAGACACAATGAAAAAGAAGTAAAAGAGTGTGAAGTCAAAAACTGAAGGACAA